CAGCGTTTCATACAATACACAATTATTTCATACGAGGCTGGGTAGGTCACCTCATTAAGTCTTCAGAGATCAGGCTTCTTGTGATCCCCACAAATATCCTTGCATTTATTCCTAATTAAAATGGCCCTCCTAAATTGCCTCAAGTTTATCAATACAAATACCAAGCTAAGCAAAATAACCACAGTTGTAAAGCAAGCGGGCAAGGTGACCTGGCCCCCAAACCTCAAGCAGAGCCAACTATGGTGTGTCCGCAGTGGTGCCCTGCCACCTGTTGGCTTTGCTTACACATAACAGGGGATTGATGTCCCTCACAGCGGTGCAGTAACCCTCTCTGACCCCTGTCTCAGTTCATCACCCCCGAGAGGAAAGAAGGGGCCGTTTGAGAATTCCAGACCTCTTGATTTCCCCCATCATTCATTTCCTTGGCCACATGTTTCTCCTGCTAATGCTAAAAATTTATGGCTGAGCACATAAAGGGCAGCACAAGCCCTTCCCTTCTTCTGGATTATTTCATAGTTTCCTGTCATAAGGAAATCCAAGAAGACGTGTCCTCAGCGGATTGTGTGTGACAGTGCCTGCTTCTATCTCAGGAATCTGAGGCATGATGGATAAACTGTCAGTTTTGAAGGATGATGTTTTCTCCATATTTCCATTATGAACCAGCCTGTCATCTCCTAATAAATTTCTTGCATTGGTATCAATTTATTTTTACAAGCAGAGGGTCTGATGTATTTGGGAAAGGCTCTGACAGCAGATCTGGCCTAGCTTGACAGAGCTGGCTCCACCTCATGTTGGAAAACCACTTCGGTTCCAAGGACAGAACTTGACCTGTGGCCCTTGAGAATAAAAAAAAAAAAAAAACCTCTGTGAAAGGAAGAGAGACACATGAGGCAAGTTCCTTTTTTTAAGCCAAAATAAATCAAGCCTGTAGGACTACCATGACATAATATTATTTCTAAGTCAACCTTACAAACTCAGATGAGAGATGCCATATGTGCTATTTACTAAAGCTAGTTAGACCATCACAATAGTGCTGTGAAGCTACGGATGAATTCAGATTATCACTTGGCTAAAGATCTCACTGCTTTTGCCCTCAGAAGGGATCTCAGTAGTGCTTTTCTGCTTGACAAGGGAGGAGTCGAGTTTATTCATGTAATAAATATTTGATTACAAATGATGTGCTTGTCCCTGTCATAGCTACTATGAAAGGGTAGGAGAAGCCAAAAAACATTGCAACAGCCCTACTTCTCAAGAAACTTAAATCTAGCTGAAGAGATAAGATGTGACACAAAATTAGAGTGAAGTAAAAATAAATCATCGTTAATATTTAACAAGCAATGCCAAGATCTTTGTCTCTTACCTTATTTAATCTTCACCTTTATTGGGAAGAGAGGCAGTATAGCATCATAATAGTTAAGACAGCGACCACTAGTGGCAAGCTGCCTGGATTTGTGTCCCAGCTCTGCCATGTACTAGTAACCCAAGAACCTACATGAGACCTTGGTCAAATTACTTAATTTCTCTGGGCCTCAGTTTTCCTCATCTGTAAAACAGGGGTAAGGATTATAACTGCCTCGTGGAGTTATTGTGAAGATTGAATGAATTAATACACAGAAAATGTTTAACATAGTCCCAGACACCAAGTAAGCACAGATAAACACTAGCTATTTTTAACTATCGTCATCATCATCATGACTATAGTTATCCCTACCATTTTACAGTAGAGGAAAGTATGGCTTAAGTAAGAGTTTAAGTAAGTTGCCCAAGGTCAATACAGCTAGATGGAGCCTGGCTCTAAATCTTGGTCAGTAAGGCATCCGAGCATAGGGAAGAAAGAAGCAGAGGGTATCCAAGTGGTAAATAAGTCATGGACAGAATCCTTGAAGCTTAATTAGCTTTTTTTCTTACTACTTGTTCCATTTCTAGACCTTAAAAGGTTCTTTTCTCCATAGCGCCACACATGCTTGCAGATGTTACTTAAAGGTGTATACAGAGTGAAGTGCTGGCAAATGGTCAAGAACCAGCTCTCTGGAAAACAATTATGCATGTGTGTGTGTACATAAGCTTACTGAAACGTTTATGTATATAAAGAATGAGTCATACACAATTTACAAATAAAATTTAAATGTATAATACTTTTTATTATAAATTCCATTCAGCCAATCGATTCTCGCAGAATACTTTTGATTATTTTGGCCAAACTCATGTATCCATAGCCAACCTCAGGTTGCAATTGGTGAACAAGTGTAGTTCTGACAACAGGAAAATCAGCTATTTTCCTTTCTTACTGAGTCTATCAGAACTTCACTCTTTTGTCAATGACATGAGCAACTTCTTTACTGTATCAGATATATATTTTTTTAATATTGGAAAGATATGTCCTTGTTTTTTTTTTGTATGATTCATACTGTAATGGCTACAGACATAATACATCTTTACATTTAACCTTCATCATTAATATTTTTTCATCAGTTTCTTAAGTTTAGGAAATCAATAAAATATATTGATTAAAATCAATCCCTAATTTGTAGCATTTGCCAATTTCTGCTGTAAATAGTCCCGTCATGGCTGATGTCAGGCTACCAAAGTGACATCACTGAGGAGTTTGGAGGAGATGTGAAATGACACATCGTTATATAACATCTCACTATGTAGCTACAATAGACACAATTTCAAGAGCATAAATAATAGTAAAAATCTGTAAAATAATTAGGAAGTGATGAGTTATAGTAACTTGACTTTTGATGTAGTTTACCCAATTGTAAGTGTCTATAATTTCATTTTAAATAATGGCTGTGTTTAATAACTGACACAGCTGGTACAGGTTGACTCCAGGCACCACTGGTTATGTCAAGCCCAATGGACCAAAGATATAAATCACACTGTTAACAAAAATCTTTCAATCTTTATTTATTAACTTCTACCTATGGCAAATTTTATATGCTTAAAAATCACAGCATATATACTATTTTAATATTCACTTAATATTGTGTGATAAAAACAGTTACATATTTTCCTCTTATAATTTTATTTGGTTGCCATAAGAAATTATGATTGTTTTCATAATGCCTAATATTTAGGTTGTTCTTATTTTTTCTTATTATATAAGTGTCTGCTAAAAAAATATTTTGAAAGCCACTTCTCTTGATTATTTGTAAGGTCTTTGAAAAATATTACATTTTATGATTTGATTATTTATGTAAAGGTCCACAAAATGCCCAAGCCATAGTTCTTCCTTTTTCTCCATTTTTGGTTCTTTTCCTTCCTCCCTTCCTCCCATAAGTATTTCTGAACTACAGCTCTGGGCCTAATGCCATTTTAAGCACTGACAGAACTGGACCCCCTTTAGATCAGATTAAAAACAATGGATAAATGAACAAACTAATCAGAAACAGTCTCAGAGATATAGAGGAAAAACTGAGGGATGCTAGATGGGAGGGGGTAGGGATGAGGGAGAAGGTGAAGGGAATTAGAAAGCACAATCGGTAACCACAAGATTGCCACGGGGATACAAAAGACAGTTTGGGGACTATAATCAATAATGTAAAGATTTTGTAGGGTATCAGATGGACACTTGTCTTATTAGGGAGACCACTTCATGGGCAGTGTAGATGCCTGACCACTGTGCTGTACACCTGAAGCTGAAGCTGAATAATAATGAATGTCAACTATAATTATT